GACGGTCTAACCGCTTCCTCGCTTTTGCTGAAGGTGTGTGCTATTAGCACGAGGAAACTTCATAGAAGTGACCGTCTACATGGGTGATCTCAGTAGCCGTCTTTTGTTTTTCTCGCATTGCTCAATTTTTCGACTTTTTTCCGACCAGTTGTAGATCATATCCAGCCGCTAACTATACCCGAGTACGGCACTATCGATAAGACAATGGTATGCATATATCGCTTGTGGAAAGTATTCTGCGGTGAAGTCATTGGACATGCCAAGTGACAACATAATTCGAAACTTAATGGAACATACATCGTCGAATGAAGAAACGTTCAGTATGCCGACAGTGGCGAGGAGAAAAAAAGGAATCTTTCGGCAGCAGCGAAATAGACTGAAGAGGAGACCAACCTACTGTTGGACGCTGTGGAGCAGCACAAGATTCAAGAAGCCGATAGACGAGGAAGACGATGGAAGCTGCGACTGGAACTATGATGCGTCAAAGGTTGGCTCCAAGACGGCAGACGAGTGTTTGCTGCACTTTCTGATAATGCCTATGCTGGATCAGTTGGTGCAGACTCAGAATCCAAGGCCAGGAGACTTGATTCAGTCATTGCGACCGTTTACTGCTGGAGCAGTTCTGAACGCGCCTGTGTTGGATCTGATTGCTCTTGTGGAACACGTTGATCCGCTGGTTGCGAATACTGCAGCTTATGCTGCAATTGGCGCCATCAAGCGACTGCACACAATGCAAGTAGCACCAGCGACTCCGCAGCTGGACACGCTTGTGAGCATGGAGTACAACGACGCAATGGGTACAGCTGAAGTCAGGCAGAGAGCATTCCAACTTTGTCGGCTCGGCGTGATAGCTCAGCTAGCTCGCTTGAAGGCGCAGAGGCGAGAGTTTCCAACTGTGCAGAGTTCGCAGGAATCGGATCTACTGTCAAGTAGCCGCAGACGGTGATGTGATGTGGTCATGGAGCATGCATCGTTGTCAGCCGCAACAATCGAGTCAAAGGTAGAAGTCGGCGATAAAAGGAGCTGGATTTGACTCAAAGGAAATGTTCGCGGTCACTGAAGAAGCAGCTAAGGTTGTGCAGCTCTAATTAAACATGTCGTGTTTAGTTTGCTTAGCATTGATACAGACTGAATAAAATTCCTTCACAGACTCGAATGCTACTTGCTTTATGCATCAATGTACTGGCCAATGGACGTTTGGGATTCCTTGTCTTGAGGAGCTAATCAATGCCTTGAATGCTGACTGCAACGTGTCGATTATATGATGTCGATGTGTATGTAGACAGCAGCGAATTAATCGTCCAGATTTTGAGCCCAGTGGCAATCTCTTTTCGCCTAGAAGCTCTTGCGGTGCACTCGATCGACGGGCCCGATTCATATTACTCGGCTTCGAGATTCACATCTGCTAGAAACGTCGATAGCGACGACAAGATGGAGTCACCAAACCACACCCAGCACTTGCGCTCATGTGGAGCAACCTTCTTAATCTTGTATTGTAGACGGGGCAAGAGTCGTAAGTTCCTTCGTCATACGTTCACCCTTACCCGGGTACATTGTGGCATTATTCGGGAGGACAATGTTGCAGTACAGATCCTTATGGACATCATCGTCACATTTCATGATGATCTGAAGCGTGCAGTCATGGATAGCCTGTA